GAGAGAGAGAGAGAGAGAGAGAGAGAGAGAGAGAGAGAGAGAGAGAGAGAGAGAGAGAGAGAGAGAGAGAGATTTCCATCAACAGGATGAGCAACACACCGGCAAACAGGTAGGTCTCCAACCCCACGGTTCACCCCACGGGCCCACGCGACTTCCATCAATAGGATGAGCAAAATCGAACGAATCTTCCGCAGTCTCCAAAGCCGCGGCTGGCCCCACGTGACTCTTCATCTACAACATGGAAAGGGATGCCGGGCCGCCCTTTTTCCCCCAGCGCCGTTTCGCTTCGGCACGCGTCGTACCTGGCCCCGCCCTTCGCAGGTGGGAAACACAAAAGAAGTTGATTGAAATCGTGGATTCATAACAAGAGAATTGACATTCAGGAGTCAAAGGTTGACGAATCCCGACTAATGGATTCGGGAAAGTCGTGGTCCGGGCCCCAGTTTTGGAGCCCGGCAAGGGGGGGGGAAGGGGAACAGGGAACCAGGGGGGGAGTTGGGATTCTGTTTCATAAAGACTTGGATGTGCAAATCATTGATCATATGATTGATATCTGGGGCCGGTGGGTATGGGTGAAGTTCGCCCACGGTTCGGGGGACTGGTCTATCATGTCCGCATATCTGCCTGTCATCTATGCGGAACGGATTACCGTTATCTCAGAACTGCCCAGTTTTTTACCGAATTCACCTAATCTGATTATTGGGGCGGACTGGAATACGGTGTTGAACCCGGGCCTTGACTGCCCGGGATTAGAGCCAATCAGAACAGATTCAAGGCTGTTAAAAGCCTTTATAACAAACTAAGGCTTATCAGATGCTTTTCGGATATCAAGTCCGGAGTCCTCTGGGTATACCTGGTTTGGATCACGATCACCCCGGTGAGGAAAAGGCTTGACTTTTTCCTTACGAGGGGTAAACCGTGGGACTACTGCACTAAGGTAGAAGTGGGCTCTTGATGGCTCTCTGACCACCGTCCGGTGGTGGGAGAATTTAACCTACTAGCGGTATCTAATTTGGCTCTGGAAAATTTCCAGAAGTCCGAGGTCAATCTCATGTCTGATTGGAAGCCCTCATAGGGTCTCCTAGTAGTCAGGATGTCCTGAAAATACAAACAGGCATATCCGCACATCTCCTCCAGGTTCTCAGAGATTTGCGAAAGAATTGAGAAAGGATGGGCCAACTCAGTCATAGGCATCTTAGTAGATTGTAACAAGAGACGTCTAAAAGTGTCCTTTGTCATTTTGTCACCTGTAATGATATTTTTCTGAGCTAGCCATGCCTTCCATTGTTCCTATTTCTTGATCTCCAAAGCTTCCAGTTGCTGTACAGCGTTTCGCCTCATGGTTGTCCAGTATTTGTCCGATATTGGGTGCTTGCCAAATTCACCTTCAGCATTATTGATTTTATTTATTAACTTGTTTTCCTGTTGTTTACTTTTGATCGCCTTTATCCGCGAGATATTACTGAGTGAGCCTTGAAGAATTCTAAATCCAACCTCGGTCCAGTCTTCGACCGAGCTGAACAAAAACCTGGCATTACTCCACTCAGATAAATGTCGTTTAATCCAGTTAATAACAACAAGATCCTGTAAGTGCTGGGTATTGAGCTTGAAATATGAGGCGCCAAACTTTTGCTTATGGGAGGTTATAAGTCCTATGTTGTTGAATATCTTTAATGGGGTTCTCATGGGGGGCACTCTGACCAAAGGAATGATGCAAGGAATCATCATGCTAATGTATAAAAAAGGAGTGAAATGAGAAATCAGAAATTGGCGCCCTATATCGGTCTTGAATGTGTCATACAAACTCCTTGCTAAGGTCTTAGCGTTAAGATTGGCGAGATACCTACCAAATCTGATTGGTAAAGATCAAGGTGCTTTTGTTAAACACCGCTCTATCATGGATAATATCGCATGCACCATCCAAGCTCTGGAGATAATAGCAAAAGAGAATCGGAATGTAGCTCTCCTGTTACTAGATATGGAAAAGGCCTATGATCGTGTAGGCTTGGCTTTCGTTTCCACGACTCTTCAAAATATGAATTTTGGCCCCAATGTCTCTAAATGGATCACAGTCATGTACTCAAGTGTGACCTCAGCAGTCATGGTAAATGGGAAAATTTCCAGAACCTTCTCCCTCACGCGTTCCCTGAGGCAAGGGTGCCCCCTTGCCCCTCTCCTCTTTGTCCTTCACATGGAAATCCTGTTAGACAACGTCAGAGCCAATGAATCAATCAGGGGTTTGTCCCTCAGGAATCAGATACAGTGGAAAGGGGGGGCACTCGCGGATGATCTAACGCTTGCCTGTGTGAACTCTCGAACTAGCTTACTTCAAGTCAGGAAAGTTCTTAACACATACTGTGAGTTATCTGAGGCTTCAATAAACTGGAATAAGTCTGTTTACCTTCTGCCTGAACCCTTTAATTTACAAGTCAACTGGGGCTTGAAGAAAATCCCAACAGATTCGTCAGACAGGTTCTTGGGAGTGCGGGTTTCACTCATGGAAAACTCCGTTTTCCAAGACTCCGTGTTGGAAGAGAAGGTGGTGAGCAGGTTGTTATCCTGGCAGAGCTTACGGCATCTCTCCTTAATGGGGAGAGCGCTGGTTATCAACTCGGTAGCCTTTGCGGTGCTTTGGTTCACCTTGGCAGTTCACCTACTTGGAGATGCAGCATACAAGCGTATCAAGAAAGCAGCAGCCAGAGTTCTGTGGAAGCCTGAAGGGAACGCCCAGGAGGGCTTCATATCCAAAATTGCATGGGAAACTATTACTTTCCCTCGTGAGGAAGGGGGATTGGGAATTTTGGATCCGCTTCGACAGAACATTGCAATGTTGGCAAAATGGCCCATAAAGGCGCTCTCATCAGATCAGGACAGCCCATGGTTAAGACTGGCAGTTTATATCTTAAGGGGAGAATGGGCTCTGGCTCGGGACGAAGATGTCTCAGCCTGCCTGCTTATCCGTTCATATGTACATATACAGCCTAAGTCAAGATTTTGGAGTAGTATATTAATGGCTTGGGGAAAGGTCTTTCCTTTGGAAAGGCCTCCTCCATTGAGTAGAGAAGCTGTCTTAT